GTTCAATGGTATATGAAGCTGTATGAGTACCAACCCAACAAAACCAACTGTCATTAAGGGAATTTTGAATCATATATAGAATAGTGTTAATTACTACCTAGAGTTTCTAAGGCTGTAAATCTTTACAGGGAGAGATAATCTCATCTTTTCTCAGAGAAGCTAGGGGGTTCAAAGGGCTGAAGCTCCTATTAGCAGCCCAAGTCATAACCTACTATCCTACCAGCCATAGGAAAACAAAGCATCTTCCTGAAGTTCTAAATCGATTGAACACATTTATCAGATTCATATGAAACTTTATCACAAACACTCAAGTAAGGATGAATATATGAGAGTGGTAAATGGAAGATTCTAATGAATTTTTAAGTTAGATATGGTATTTCTAAACAATATACATCTTAGACCTATACCTATAGACTGGTTGCGGTACACATTCACTTGTACTCACTTTTTAAAGTGTGGTGATATACATTAAATGCATATCATGGAATTTGAAGCCTGATCATGTGAATAGCAACAGTATTTTCCTAACTCCCGCTGGACTGTGAGTGGGGTTAATGTAAAATATTTTGGAACAAAGACAATTACTGTCATATATATTTAAATGCTGAACGTTTGGATGAACTGACTTATAGGTTGCTGAGAAAGTCCAACTGATAGAGGTGATGTCACCACTGAACTTTGAATAAATTTATCTTGGTGGACAAAGATTCTGTGGCCTTGTCCTGGGGACATGAAGACATGAAAGTATTTTTCTAGAATGTACCCATTTCTCCTGATAGTAGAAAAGGAGCCATCATTTGTAGGAAGTATGCATGATATGGCAAGCCAGGGGCTTCAAAAACTTTGTGGAAAAATATTATCTTTTAATTGCTCAATTGTATTTGCCATTCACTGCCATTGAGTTCATGCTGACTCATAGTGACCCTGTCAGGCAGGGTGGAACTGTACTTGCGAGTTTCTGAGACTGTAACTCTTTACAGGAGTAGAACCCAAGTCTTTCTGCTGAAGAGCAGCTGCTGGTTTTGAACTGCTGACATTTGGGTTATCAGCCCACACATAACCACCATTGCTCCTAGAATATCAGGTTTTGATCCTTGTCTTGGGTCTTTAGACCAGTAATGCAAGTTCTTCAGGTCTAAGTTTCTCAATGAAGAAGTGCGGCAAATACAAGAATGCAAAAATGAGTACATCGATGTTTGTCCTCTTTTTGCCCCTCTTTTTCTTCCATATTTTTCTGATCCTATCCTCCCTCCATGGTTTTGAAGATGTCAAAAATAATGGACACCTGCTACTTGAATAGGAAAGTCCTCCTCTATAGTAAGCGTTTGGATCACATGGCCAGGATTCTTCCTCTCCATAAAATTCATTCTGGTGATCTATCAAGGTTTTCATTAAGGAAGCAATAAGAGAAATAATCAGTGTCTACTATCAGAGGGCTTCAAAAAGTTAAGTGGAAAAACTCCACTCTCATAATCATATTTTTCCCACAAACTTTTGGAGACCCGCTCATAATGTAATATATTTAGATCTTACTGGTTAGTGGCACTTTAAAACGGAATGTACACAAACAGATGACTTAGAAATAAGCAGGGAAAGGTTGTGTGGCATTTAGCTGCATATTGCATATGCATAATTAATTCCTTCAAAGGTTAAATACTCTTGGCACATGTATGGATAGTGATATACCCATGACAGTAATCATTATGGCAATGACTTGGTTTTACATAATTCTAAAGTAAATGTCATGTTTCTTCTCTGGGGATTCCAGCACTGGTATTTAGACAAGCATATGTTTTCAAGTAGATAGCTGGGCGAGAGGAGGGACTCTTTCCCAAACAGAAGGACTATTCATGTAGCCGAGACACTAAGCTTTATGGGGTGCTGACTGCCACTACATTCTCTTTGGAATTGAAATGCAATTACATATTGAGGACAAATGCTAAATATAAACTGAAAAGACCAACGGCATGAGTTTTTTTCTTCCTGTTTGCTTTGTTTGTCTATTATCTTTGTGGAAAGAATTAACTACCACAAACACACTCTAATCTGTAATTGAAACACAGATCAAGCAACTTGGTGAATTCTTCAGTAGCTCATTGAAGAACTGTATTGTAACTCTGAAGGACTAGTTTTTTCTTACATCCATCCATGATTATAAAGATGCTCTGGAAATACGAAAGAAGCAAGGCACTGCAGACTATAACACCATTACATATAATTTTTATTCAAAGCTAAACAAACAAAAGCCTAGATAATACATTTTATGGAAATCTTACATAGCTAACTAAATCTATATGTGTAAATTGGAGTGTAAATATGGGTTTCTTGGGGGAAAATTAAACAAGACCTTATAAAGACTGAAAGTAGAAAATGAAGAAAAGTTCCGGCAAATACTGACAAAAGAATGCTATTGAAGCTAATAGACGATGGCCAAGCTGGACGTCAATCTTGTCTTGTCTCCCTAGGCCACTGTTAACCTTCTCCATCCAGGGAACTGTTCCCCACCTTCAAGGAGTTTTGATAAGTCATCTTCTCTTTTGCTCTTATTTATTTCTAACTGTATTTAAAGCCTAAAAATCTTTATTCTCTCAACTCTTATAGTGAACATTATCTGTGTACTAAGCACTTGGTGTTGATCAGATGCTATGTCTTAGTATTATGGATATTCATGCCTTTGTTTAATTAAATTGTCAAATCTTGGAACTCAGACCATGCTTTAGTTTTCCTTAAGCATCAAGTCACTTCTCTGGAGGCCCTGCCATGTGGTGGAACGCTGTAATCTGGCACACAGGAGAAGGGCAATAAGCACATCAGTGGTCAACTGAAAAATGGCCTCTGAAAGCACACGAAGAAGCCTTTTTGGGGTGGTTGAAGACTTTGCCAATGCTACGCTTTTATGTTTATCTTTTATGCATTCTCTCTGCCAAAGTATTAAAGTGGAAGAAGGCACACACCGCCTGGTTAGCGAGTGGCGTGAAGCTGTGCAGCGTTAGTGAGGCTAAGACTGTGGTCCCACTGCCTAGCAGAGGGTGGTCCCCCGGTGAATCGAGTTGGGAACTCCTGAAGGTTCATCATGACTAGGTGGTCTTTAAAGGCAAAGATGACATCTAATACATGCTTTTGTTAGGATAAAAAAATTAGTGTACTGTTAATTGCAAGTGTATGTGAATTAACTCTTCATCTGGGGTGATCTCCCCATGACTTGAAGACAGTGTACACTGGAAAGCGCCCAGTTTGGGTTTTTAGCTCTGGCTTCCCTCCTCCGGGAGAGGTCAACTGAGAGGTTATAAGAGGCATCCCATATACACAGGTTGCAGATGTAATCATTGAAACTAGTCCTTTGAGGTTAAAGGTTGATTACAGATTTGGTTCTGCCATTTGATGGTAGACTAGGTAGACTATGGGAACAGGTAACCGAAGTTGGGCAAGTCCACGGGCTAGCTCTTCCGTGCTTTTTCCAAAGTGGCCATCAGGAAGTGGGGTACCTTCTTTCTCATAGCCTACAAGATGGACTTTCTCCTGCAGATTGTTTCCAAACACACTATTCTCTGAATAGGAAATAGATAACACAGGACCACAAAACCAAAGGGTGCAATAAATAACTGTTATATGGTAAAATATATTGTAAAAATAACTGTTGGTAAAATATGGTATATGGTAAAAATAACTTCCTCCTACCTCTGCCCATCAGTCGTCTCTCTAGAAATGACCAGAGTTACCCATTATTTCATTTAATTGAGACATAAACACTTCATATTTTAGTATACACAATTCTGAATTTATATATTTTTCAGAAAATATTTTATAGGATATATGCCATACTGGATTTTGCTTCCCCCCTTCATTTATGGCTTCATTAACAACTAATCCTGTAATTTTATTTTAATTTTTGTTTAATTTCAAATCTTATCCTTACCACTGTCTAGGATACTGACTGTGTCCATTATTTGCTTTATGAATTATTTAACAATAATCTTGAGATCATTCTAACTTAAAAGTCCTCTACCAACTGGTTTTACAAATGCCCGATCTTCACCTCATCTCCAGAATGCATCTTTCTGTTAACAAACAACACATCTATCCTCCAAAGTTCATTTAAAACTATCTTTCCTCTAAGAGCATTTCCTGAATATCAGGGATCATTTTCCAGGAATTATCTCCAGGCCTTAAATAATATTGTTGATTGTCCTGTGATTCTTGTTTGATGGTACAACAACCATAAAGATGTGAATAACATTCAATAGTGATCTTTTAAGAGTAACTATTTGTGCCCTACGCTTTGCTAAGTACTTAATAGGTATTATTTCCTTAATCCTTACATTTATTCAGTACTACAACACACATGCTGTGTAATATTATTATCCTGGTAGCAAACCTGTAGGTGCTTTGTCAATCTGACTGTGACATTACCCCTGAGATCATGTACAGGTGGTTTTCTTATACACTAGTGGCTTTCAGCACAGTGTATCAGGTCAAACGTGTAGGTCAGAAATGTCAAAAATCACTCTTGAGCAATTAGACATAGCCATAGATGGACAATTATCCAATCTCCTTTTGGTAGTGTTGACTTTTAAATAGTATTTTCTTGTTCATCTCACTGTCTGCTTTTAGGGTACCCAAAATTAAAAAAACAAAACATAAAAACTTAGTAGTAGAGTGATCATGTAATTTGTTCAAGTTCACCTATATATTAAGTGGCCATTTCAAGAGATAAACTGAACTGAGGCTCATAAACACTGTATCCAAATTCAGAGGGAGTGAATACTGTGTTCTCCTTACAGTGTGCTATCAAATGTAAGATGACATTCGGTTGAATGCTTATATTTTCTGCTAATCAATTCTAGTTTAGGTTTGCAATGTCTCTTTTCTAACACAAGATATATATTTTTGGTACTATTGGCTAAATAAGTGTTCTTCATTTGTTGATGAAGTTGTAATTAGGAACTTGTTTCTCGCTCTTGTCTGGTTGCTGAGTCTGCTCTCCTATTGTTCTTCTGTAGACAGTAACTTCATCCTTGCCAACGCCCAGGTGGCCAAGGGTTTCCCCATAGTCTACTGTTCCGATGGCTTCTGCGAGCTTGCTGGATTTGCCCGAACTGAAGTCATGCAGAAGAGTTGCAGCTGCAAGTTCTTGTTTGGGGTTGAAACCAATGAGCAACTGATGCTGCAAATAGAAAAGTCACTGGAGGAAAAAACAGAATTCAAAGGAGAAATTATGTTCTACAAGAAGAATGGTGAGTTGGCTTTCTTTGGTGCTTATTGGGAGCTGAGAAAGGTCATCTTCTCTCAATTCAATAATTGCTTTATAACTCCCATTAAGGCTTCTGATATTTCTCATAAATAACTCTATTTATAACTCTGTTATAGATGTTCTATAAATGACTTGGACGATGGCCTTCTTTTAGTCATTAGCAGCCTACACAGCCTGGAAACTTAGCATTAGAATTTAACTATTTGATAATATATCAACTCAGTTGATAGATGTTAAATAAAGTGGATTACTATTATATTACAGTCATCCTCAAAATTATAGTGATGCCATATGAGTATTAATGGATGCGCTTTTATCCAGAGATTTTTTTTTCCTCCAAATTTTATTCCTTTAAGAAGCACGTTCCAGCCCCCAGTCATTAAGGACAGAGATCTGAGGATTGAGTGGCATTGTGCCACCAGGACTCCTTCAGGTTTCCCCAAGGAAGCAAAATTCCCTCAGGTTGAGAACAATTGTTCTAATACACTGGCAAATATTTTAAGGAAGGCAAGATGACAATTTTGCTTGCTGGCAACATGAGACTAGACAATAAGATCTCTCAGCTCTGCAGAAAAGGTTTGAATATTCAAAAAATTGATAGGCACTATTCCAGTTAATAATTTTTGGTTAGTAATAGAATGGCCAACAATTGTGGTTTAAAAAAATAAAGTATATTCTGGAGGAGAGAGAAGTGGTTCTAGTTTGTTAATACAGTTACATAATGTCATAAATAAGGATGCAGGTCCTTTTTTCTCCACATATTTAAAAAATCTCCTGTTATGGCTTGTGTGTCTGCGTGGTGTTAAGGGACTAGCTTTGTATGCAACAAAGAATATCTACGTGGATCTTCTTCCCATATTCTCTTCACTCATTGACCACCTTTGATCCCATCTTCCATTCTTATAATCATAATATCCCAATATTTAGCACTGGAGTCAATGGCAGGAGGGGAGAATAGGCCCACACATGGGATCTTCATTCTACTTTCCTTGGGGAAATTTTGTCCTTAAAGAACATTGTTTGGTCTCGTAGATTCTAGATATACAATAGCCACGAAGTATTGAAGAACACTGTCTGGGATAGGGTATCTTAACTCTTTGGCACTGGGAACACACTTTAGACCATCGTGCCCTTGCCCATGTGACTGAAAAAAGGCCTACATAGCAAATACAGTAAAAAAAAAAAAAGGACTCGAGCTCTATATAAATATACTATAATCATTGAAAAGAGAGCCCTAGAATAAAGAAAATGGAGCCAGGCCGACTGGTAGACACTGATAAAATTGCCATAAAATGGAACAAAGGGAAAGGAATATCCTTTGTTTAAATATCTGCTGACTGCAGACTTGTCCTTCCTGAGATAGGTGCCTTGTATAGACCCTTTCAAATGCCTTTAAATGTTTTCCTTTTTAAATGTCCTCAAGATATCCAACTGGCACCACTGTGAAGGTCTAGGTCAAGAGGGAGAATCTAGGTGCAAAATCCAAAGGATGGAAAATTTGTAGGACAGATAATGTATGGAGGGGGGAGAGTCAACATCCAAAAGTTTTTCTGAGCATAGTGTTTTATAAGATGCCTGAATGGACTCATGTGCGTCAAAGCCATTAATGACCTAAATCCCCTCTAAGCCAGCCACCAAGGAAAATTGTCTAACAGTCTAAGTAATTGATCCAGCTACAAATGATTTAAAATTGTCCTCAACCTTATGCTAATCCTATATTATAACTATTTATATTAATGTCTGTCTCCACACTCAATTTTAAGCCTTTGAAGGCACAGGCTATGTGTTAGTTATTTCTGCATTCCCCATACATACAGCCTTGAGTCTAAAGAAATGTTTATCAAATTATTCTTCAATATATGATTACTGAATGGAATGGAATTTACTTATAGGGTTGTGATGAGTTGGAATCAACTTGATGGTAGTGAGTTTGCTTCAGTTGTTTTTGTTGTTGTTACTTAGACATATAGATACTTTAGGGATATACAGATTTCTGATTCTCATGTTTATTATGACCTCAACAGTGCCCCACGTTTGAAACAGGCTTTCTTTCAAAGGTCATTTTCCTCTAGTATGTTTTGGAAAGTGGGCACTTATCTCTCATCCTATCCAGAGACAGTTTAACATTCTGGACTGAGCTCCCTTGTTCACTGTTACGATTACTCTCCTAATCTCACAGGAAAAGTGCTATGAAAAACACTGCCCTTACCTCCCTGCCTAGACCTGTAAATCCAATGCCCTGACTTGAGGCTGATCATGTGATGCAGATTATACTAAAGGTTTAGGATATCTAGTTGGAATTATCATAAAGGAAGACACACTTCAATCAGAATGACAAATATGCTAGTATACTAAATCCAGAGGAAAATAAAAGTAGGCAATTTGTTGCTGGAATTATCTACTGGGAACAGCCCCAGTTTCTAGTCTTTTTTTCTACCTTTTATCCACACTAAATGTGGACCCTTCTTTAGTAAGGTGTGGTTTGCATACCTCCACTCTGGGTAAGAAAAGTTCATGTTATTCAATGGTGTTGTCCTCCCTTGAGGATCTGTCCATACCTCCCTAGGGAAAAACACAGCATTCTCCAAGATAACTTACCCCCAAAGTAGACTAATAAAGGGATTTACAAAAACAGTCCAAATCTAACCCCAATTTTTATCAATACTCTAGAATGATGTGAAATTATGCTTCCTTTTCCCCGTAGTCTTCTTGCGAAAATTCACAGGAAACACACACATGTACATACCTCCTGAAACTATTTTTAAAATCGGAGATAGTAGTGTAAAAGTCAATAATAATAACTATAATGATAATGATGGCTCGCATTTTATAGCACGGACTGTATGCTAGAAACTATATTTACTTTTACTCATATTAGCTCATTTAAATACAAATAATTCTTAGGAGGAGATACTCTTCTGATTGTTATAGGTAAGGAAACCAATATAAATAAAGATTAAGTTTTTTAAAAATTAACTTCATCAGAAAGGTACATAGTTTCACAGATAACATAATCTACTAGCTTTTCTCTGTCCAACATGTAGATAGTAATCTTTCATATGTGTAAGAGGTATCATTTTCCATGTTTGGTCCTTTTAGATAGCTCAGGGCATATACATCAAAAGTGAATACCATTAGGATGTCTTTTCAAAGAGCAGTCCCATCCTCTTCTGTTGAAATACAAAAGGTATTGACCAGGAATATTATAGGGAAACACACAGACAGTCATTCTAATTAAAGGCAACATCTTTTCCTCTTCTAATTCAATGTCCTCTCACTTTGTAAGCAATATAAGGATAAGTCAAAAAGTATTGTTACAAAAATCATAGGAACCTTTATTAAATAAAAACTCAAAATGTGTGTTAGTTCAGGTGGACTAGAGGAACATATTCAGATACTCATATGCATATAAGATATCAAAGAGCAATTGAACATTAAGAAAACATCCCAGTCCAGTCCAGATCAAGTCCATAAGTCCGATATTACCCCATATGACAGTACTAGTCCATAAATTCTTCTTTAGACTCATGCAGCCATGGAATGATGCCAAATGCAGAAAGATCACAGGCTAGTGGGTGGAAAGTCCTATGGATCCAGTGGTGGTGGAAGCATGTCAACGCTGGTGTGGGTCTCCACATGACTCCTCCAGCTCTGGCTCTATCAGTATAGCTCCATGGGGCTTGCCAACAGAAATGTCTTGAAGGGAAAGAGTGTGTCTGGCCTCCAGTGAGCCTTTTATTATCTCTGTTGCTCCTTCAAATGAGGTTAGCAAGCTTCAACATGATTGACAAGCTAACCTCCACTCCTTCACTCTTAATAGTGTCAAATTGATACCAGATTATGTAAGTTCCACAAAATGCTAAGTTATTATTTCTCCACTTGTCCTACACTAAGGTATTTACAATTCTGAAAGTGGTATTTCCATCTCGCTAGCTCTTTCCCACATAACTGGGTTATGCATTGAGTTGTTAATTACAAGGCTGGAGGTTCAAACCAGGAGCCTTTCTGTGGGAGATGGATGAGACTTTCTACTTCCATAAAGACTTACAATATGGAAAACTTGATATGAGTTGGAATCCATTTGATGGCATTGAGTTTCAGTTGGTTAAATAATTTTGCGCTTTTTTTTGATTTTTACCATGCCAAACAACATTTTGGCCATCCTCGAGGGACAGATTCAAACTGTGTTTTCTCTGCAGGGGCAAGTTTAGAGGTATAGGTGAATGAGGTAAGTTTTCCCAATTAACTTTTAATAGGATAGATCTTGTTTCCCCCAAGAATTAAAGAGTGCGTTACTGTAATGGGGGAAAAAATTCCTCTGCACAGTTTTCCTGGCTTTTATCGTATCAATGCAGCCTTCATTTTTTTAAAAAAAACTTCTTAATAATTAGTCCTTATGAACAACCTATGTTATTTGAGAAAGTCCCTCAAGATTGTCCATTTGTAATCCCCCCAAACCAAAGTAGTCACTATCACCTTCGGAACTAATGTCCCTGCTCTGAAATGAATGGATTTATCCGATGTCCTCCGAAGCTACTAGTTGTACATGTGGATGTACATTTGAAGCTGGAAAACGAAACCGTTGAGTAACTAATGAGTGATGTGGTGATTGGTGAGGAAGACACTGGAGTCAGGAAGCTGAAGAAACTTCTCTGGAGTTGGCATAGGTCCTGGAGAGAAGTAAAGGTTAGATGCAGGAGGGAGAGAGCTGGAGGAAGGAGGATAAGGCTAGAGATTCGTGAGGACACAGCTCATGACATTTCACTGTTTCCTCCTCAAATAGCTGACGGTGGATTTGATAGACTAATTACATAGTATTGTTTCAAATGTACTGTTAAAATAGTGCCTAGATATGAAAATACAAGATATTTATGTGTAACACCTACATAAGTTTCTGTACTGCCACGAGCATGCATCACACTCACAGAAAACACACTGTCTTAACTCAAGTGTGCACATAACACTTCTGAATCAGATATTCTG